CACACAATACGCAAAACAGACATGTTTACGCACATGTATACATATCAATCTAGGCGTTTCTATTGAATGTATCTTTAACAATCTTTAAAAAAGCTAACCACTGCGATCTTCGTCTCGATCGGAAATGACCACAGTCGGCAGAGAGACTACTCGGCCAGCAAATGGAACGACCATAGCGGGTCATAATGGTACCACGAGTTTCTTCGTATTCTGTTACATTGATTGGTTTAAAACGTACCGGCTCCCAATAAGTACCTTCTGCTTTCAAATTGCCCAACACAAGGATGCGTACGTTTGGCCATACATGAATCTAAAAGACACCATTCAGTGTTGAAAGGCAGTACGGAAGGGAGCTATCATTCCTTTGTTTTGTCCCTGCCCTTTAGCTATATGAAAGCAGCTAAACTTAAAAATAAAAAATCATCTGCATTGGCAGGAAAGTATCAAAATGCATTCAAACAAACAAATTAACTGCGAAAGCGTCACAGCTGATAGGAGACACAGTGTTGAAGTAAAAGGTGGAATTTGAAATCATTGGCGACGCGCATCAGGTGGACCTGCGCGACCATGTGTTTTTGCAATATTTCGTGCTGAAATGAGATTGCTCGGAAACCCAGTATACTGTGAAATACTGGTCCTCGAAGTTTGAGAAGCTAGTTGCGCAACTAAGCGGTGCTTGGACGGGGACACATCCCCTAAAAATTTCAGCCTCCCAGCATTTCTGGCTTCCGAGTCAGCGGTTTTCCCGTCAGAACTTCCAAGTGGTCGGACGCGGGGCCCAGACGTGCGTAATAGTTGGTGCCGCGGCCCTGGAGAGGCGCTTAGTCGGGGAATCCGCTGGCAAAATTTTGCCGCCGGAGCTTGCGTGGCTGCTGAGTCGAAAAACCCGGAGACACACACACACACGGACATGCACACACATGCAGACCATGGATCGTCACAATATACGTTTTTACACTTGCATATCCGTAAAAACGCATAATACAGCAACAACACATAATATAGCAAAAACAGATTCGGAGATGCCGCGCTGTCTGAGGATTGTCAAATCTGAGATATACTGACTTCGATTTCTAAGCTCACTGATACAGCTACGGAAAACATTTTCGCGTTTCATTAGCAATTTTTCAAGTAAATGCATTATCTCTATGTCACAACTGCCATTCATGAAAGAAAAGAGGCAAATTTCAATTTGGACAAAATATTGGTGATGACGATGAGATGATGAAGATGGTGATGTGCTTTTAAAATTTGTCTACTTTGTCTGATACGAGTATAAAAGGTCAAAATGATTACAACTATGAGCACTCTACTGCAAGACACTTTACCTACTTCGATGAAGATCGCTTTGTATATGAAGAAATTTAATGAAACTATGAAAGCAGTTTAACAACATTCTTTGAGATGAACGCTTTATCTTGCTTCACTTTGTAAATGTGACAGCATGGGACCGAGGTCTGGAAAAAAGCATCA